TATGTGGCACATGACTTTTTTTTTTTTTTTTTTTGAGGTGAAGTCTCCCTCACTTTGTTGCCCAGGCTGGAGTGCAGTGCCAAGATCTCTGCTCACGGCAACCTCCGCCTCCCAGGTTCAGACAAGTCTCCGGCCTCAGCCTCCTGAGGAGCTGGGATTTCAGGCATGCGCCACCACACCTGGCTAATTTTTTTGTATTTTTAGTAGAGACTCGGTTCTACCATGTTGGCCAGGCTGGTCTTGAACTCTTCACCTCAAGTGATGCATCCACCTCGGCCTCCCAAAGTGTTGGGATCAAAGGCGTGAGCCACCATGCCCGGCCTATGACTGTATTATTAAAAATTGACTTCACCCGTTTCTTTTGTACTTTTTTTCAATGTGGCTGCTTGAAAATGTAAAATTACCATGTGCAACACGCATTATATTTCTATCAGACAGTACTAGTCTAAACAATTCTAGACAAAAGGTCAGCCATCTCCAGGAATGGAAATCTTAGAATCCCATTCAATGGTCACATCCATTTCCTTCCATTCGACAAATGTTGACCGCCAAGAGTACCATGCTTGTTGAGCTGGTGAGAGGTTATCATACAGGAGGCCCTGCAGTAAGAACTGGGCAGGAGGAAGACAGGAAGTGGAGTCTATGGAAGACCAGAGAAAGTGTCGTACGGGAGGTAAAAATTAAGTACTCCGGGGATTAAAGGAAAGGCGATAGCGTATCAGGTTGTTGGCAAGGAGGAAGTGAATGAGGAAAGGGCACTGAGAGAAGGTAGCCAGTGACATGGGCAATGAGAATGGTAAGGATTTTGGCCAAGAGAGAAGGGGACTGAACGCTGTGGGAAGAACACTGGACTCAGCAGACCCAGCGTCCTCAGGCGCCTCTTCCCCTGTCCCAGTCCTCCACGGCACCACCCTTGGCCTGTTCTTCTCACACCACAGAGCTCCCTGGCAGGCACCATCTGTACTCACGGCTTCCATGCCCACATCTACACTGATGACTCTCACATCTCTAGTCCCGGCCCATCCCTGCCTCTCAACCCCTGGTTCCAAATAGTCAATGTCCACTCACATTTATTTGTGGATATTTCTCGGATACTTCAAAATCCACTGACTACCCAGCCAAACTCATCCTTCCCACCCCTCCCACAGCTCTGGTCCTCACTGTCCTTCCCTTAAGGGAGCGGCAGGACCACAACTCAGCTGTCCTAATCCCTCCCCTGTGCTCCAGCCCTACATATGACCAGCCCCAAAGTCCTGTGGCATTTTCCCTCCTTAATATTTATCTCACCCAGCCACTCCGTACATACCCCTGCTGGGTCTAGGCTGTCACCGCGCTTCGCCTGGGTGACACAACATCCTCACCGTTCTTGCTGCTTCTCGCGTGATCCCTTGATCACGCTGTGATCATGGCTGTCAAGGTGACCAGACTACAACAGAAAACTGCTCCTTTAACACCTCTTTGCAATTTCCAGGGTGAAGTCCAAATTCCTGAACTTAACACATACAGCAGAACTTCATAATCTGGGCCTCACTCCGATACCCAGCTCCACATCTGCCTCTCCCACATGCAAATACTTTTGCACATTCTGTTCCCTTTGCCTGGGACACTCTTCCTACT